ACATAATGTACAAGTGACAGTACATTATTGGCCCTCCAATAGGATAATTCCACTTGTACATTATGTCGTCCATTATGGATGCCATAATGTACAAGTAGAATTATCCTTTTAACATACTCAACACAACCACCAAATGTTCAAGAAATGTTGAAAGTATTTCCCTTTATACTTATCATTCTATTGAGTTGCATTCAATTTCAAAATATTATTTAAAGTTAGTAATTAAAACGATTATATAATTGATAATAAGTAGATCCACACAAAACAATAATATATTATTTAAAAACCACTAATATGAGCTTGATCCTTGAAAATGCTCAGCAACCTATATTATTTTCGCATCTAGACTAGATTAGCTACAAGAATATGAGTACTCATTGAAGTCCAATGGTGCATTTAGTGTTGGATAGCCCCATGCCAGCTAATCCCAAATATTTTTTTTCCTTCATAAAAAAAAAATTTTTAAATGTAAAAAAAATCAAAGTTTTGGAAGAATTAAAATAATTTAGATAAGTCAACTCTGGTCTATTGGGTCAAAAGCTTTTAAGTGAGTAAGTGAGAAACAAGAACAAATTTACCTCTTCACTCCAATTTACATAATTTTCGCCATGTTGGAATGAAAGTCACACAGTCGATAAGCCTAACATAATTTCCCAATGCAAATAGCCCAACATATAAAACTTTTTAGCCCAACCCTAACTTCGACCTTATTTGAGTTTTTGTTATATTTCAAATGTTTTTTGTGAAGTTTAAAATGCTAATCAGCCTATGCCAATGAAAACTTACGGAGTGGACTCAAGTATCAAGAAAAAAGTATCAATTTATTAGAAAATATTTATACGGAATTATCCAAGATTTAACTAAATAATTGATGAATTTATCAAGGGTTATTGGCGCAAAACGTACTTACCTATGACAGATTTTGTGGAAAACGTCCTTACGTTTGATTTTTTGGTGATGGACGTCCCTACCTTTGCATTTTCTTGTGCAAAACGTCCTTCCGTCCAATTCTCATTAGAATGCACCGTTAAATCCATTAAAAATGATTTTTATTTTCCAAACAAAAGGGTAAAACCGTCAGAACACCCCCTAACTTCCATCCCTTCTATCCCGCCTTTTTCTTCTTCAAATGTTATGCATAACTAAAAAGTGTAAGTAATATGAAAATTAATTTGGGGTAATTGGCGCAAAACGTCCCTACCTATGACACGTTTTGTGGAAAATGTTCCTACGTTTGATTTTTGGTGATGGATGTCTCTACCTTTGCATTTTCTTACACAAAACGTCCTTCCATCCAATTCCTGTTAGAATGCACCGTTAAATCCATTAAAAAATGATTTTTATTTTCCAAACAAAAGGGTAAACCCGTCAGACCACCCCCTAACTTCCATCCTTTCTATCCCGCCTTTTTCTTCTTCAAATGTTATGCATAACTAAAAAGTGTAAGTAATATGAAAATTAATTTGGATGATGTTGTAAAAAATAAGGAAAATGCCGGAAATCACTGTATTTTTGGAAGCATGTTAATTGCGAGTGCCGTAAATCTAAAAAAAAAAAAA